CACTGCAGGCTCAACCACTTGGCTTCAAGCGATCTTCCCACCTCAGCCTCCCAAGTAGTCTTAAAAAATAATATGTCTCAGCCTGTAACCCCGCGCCTTTGGGAGGCTGAGGTGAGTGGATTGCCTGAGCCCGTGGGTTCGAGACCCGCCTGGGCAGGCGAGACGTCATCTCTACAATAAATCAAAAAAATTAGCCGGGTGTGGTAGCGCGCTCCTGTAGTTCCTGCTACTTGGAAGGCTGAGGCGGAAGGATCCCCAGAGCCCAGCAGGTCGAGGCTGTGTTGGCCAGGAGTGGCCACTGCACTCCAGTCTGGGTGACAGAGTGAGACTCCAACTCAGAAAAAAAATAAAAAATAAAAAATAAATAAAAATATTAGAAATAAAAAATGTTTTGGCGCCTAAGGGAATTTTTGTCCTGAATAATGTCTGGGCCATCTTGAAAATAGGCTTGGATAAAAGTGTAAGAATACGGAGTTACTGGTATTTTTGATTTTGATTAGCATTTGGCATACCACTGCACAATTTCCTGGTACAAGAACGTGAGGATACTAATTACAAATATACACACTTTGTGTTTTTGACCTTTTTTCAAACAGATGATTATATATACTTCTTTATTCACACTGTTTTTCCTTTAATATTAAACAAAACGATTAGCAGCCTACTCTTATCACTTGAGTAACCTGCTCAAAGCTCTTCTTCACCAGCTCATCCTTGGCACATGGCTAATTCCTTAAGAGCATGTTAACAGCCTCACCTCCTAGGTTGTTTTCCACCAACTTTAATCATTAGTTTCACCTTCGTCTTTTTAAAGGCAGAAAAAAAGAGTGACAGAGCTACAGAGAGAGTAGAAAAGGGAGAAACCCACAGTCCTGCCAAGACACAACTTTCAAAAAGAGGAAAATTGCATTCAACTTCCTTATCATTTAAACAAGCAGTTCAATCTGTAACACTTGGGTTTTTAATGTTTTTTATTTCACATCTAGACCTGCAGATGAAACATCTGTTTTAAACATGAACACGTTTCCTGATGCACAGCTGTATTGCCAAGACTCAAAAGGCTCGGGGTCCTGAATATTTCCTGCTGCTGTATGACAACTCTACCTCCCCAATCCTAGAGTGATGTCCATCATTCCTACTGAAACGTCTTTTGGTCACCCTACTTCCTGAATCCACATCAAAACATACACATCCATCTTGAGGCACTGCTCCTCCTATATTTCTCTTCATGTAAAACATCGTTCTGACTTTTCCAGTCTACCCCATATACATTTCCTTTTCCTTTTATTTTTAGAGCCCATCCAGGTAACATTGGGCCAAAACTCAAAACTACCATTTGGGACAACTCCTCCAGAAAATACAATCATTTCCCATCAAATTAGAAAATGATTATAACAAAAAGACATTTAAAAATAATTCACTAGGTGGCTGAGCCTGTAATCCTGCGCCTTTGGGAGGTTGAGGTGAGTGGATTGCCTGAGCCCGTGGGTTCGAGACCCGCCTGGGCAGGCGAGACCTCATCTCTACAATAAATCAAAAAAATTAGCCGGGCGTGGTAGCGCGTGCCTGTAGTTCCAGCTACTTGGAAGGTTGAGGCGGAAGGATCACCGGAGCCCAGCAGGTTGAGGCTGCAGTGGCTGGGAGCGGCCAATGCACTCCAGTCTGGGCGGCAGTGAGACTCCAACTCAAAAAAAAATTTAAAAAATATATAAATAAATAAATAATTCACGGAGGCTGGATGTAGTGGCTCATGCCTATAATCCCAGCACTTTGGAGACCAAGCTGGGAGAAGTGCTTGAGCCCAGAAGTCCAAGACTAGCTTCTACAAAAAACATACAGCAAGACCTTGTCTTTACAAGAAAAAATTAGCTGGGCAAGGTGGTGTGCACCTGCAGTCCCAACTACTTGGGAGGCTAAAAGGACAACTGCTTGAGCCCAGGAGGTCAAGGCTGTGATGAGCCATGATTGTATCACTGCACTCCAGGCTGGGTGAGAGTGAGACTCCAACTCAAAAAAAAGAAAAAAATTGAGTGAAAATGGAAGTCATTTAATTTTTAATAATCCTCTGGTACAGAAAAGCGACGAGTTTTGCTCACCACTTCCTGTGGCTGTGTTTTCCAACAGCTCTGTCTGAAGTTGTAGCTGAGCTTCTCCAAGGATCCTGAGCACAGACTCTGTCGGGCTCTTCCCCCAGGCTCTTCTTGGGGAGCTCCCAGGATCTAATTTAATGGCCTCTCCCATGGTATCTTCCACAGGAAAAAACACAAAGAAATAACCTTCAGTAAGAGAACATAATGATGCTGCATTACAAGGCAGATGGGGGGTCTTTGATCCAGCTGTGGAGTGCTTCATGAGAAAAAAGTTTATATCACAACGATGTCCAGGCAAAGAATGACAAGTAACGGCAAGAGCAGAGGCAGCTGGGACTAGCAATGACAGCATGTCTGTCACTGCCTTTTAGAGCGGCTGTGAATCACATTCTAGCTTTGGGGAGGTAAAAACTAGAAAAAATATAATAAGTTAATACAGACTGAGTACCCCTTATCTGAAATGCTTGGGACCAGAAGTGCTTCAGATTTTGAATTTTTTCCAGATTTTGGAATATGTGCATACACATACACATAATGAAGTATCTTGTGGATGTGACCCAAGTCTAAACATGAAATTTACTTATATTTCATACACATCTTCTATACATAGCCTGAAGGGATCTTACACAATATTTTTAATAATTTTGTGTATGAAATAAAATTTGTGTATACTGACCAAAAAGTAAAAAAACAAAACAAAAAAAACCCAGAAAGCAGAGGCATCACTATCTCAGCCATGTGGACAACCTGTGGCTGTCTGGTATGACCACCACTTCTGGTTCTGAATGTATATGCTACCAGTCAGCAACACCTTCAAGCGCTTATTCACACAAAAGCACTTAGCGAGACCGTCCACTGAGAAAGCGAACAAGTCAAGCGCTCAGGCAACTAAACAGCCCAGCAGCCTCCCCAGAATACCAGCACCAGCAGTCAGACACCGGCAGCCACAGGCAATAGCGGCTGTTGGTATCCACCAACAAAGCTGTGTTGTGATTAAAAGGTTACTGGACACTGGATTTTATTTAGGTGAAAAGAAACATCTGAAGCAGTTGAGGGGCCAGGAACGGTCCTGAAGGGATGAGGAGGCAGTCTATTGGATGGCTTTTTAAATGGTTGGAAGGGTTTTTTTTCCCTTGGGGATGTTGAACAAACTGTATGTTGTGCCTGTATTCTGACTTCAATTCATCACACAAGGGCAGGTTTGGCATTTTACATTTATAGTGTCACACTGGCATAATTCAAAGAGTTTTAGATTTTGAAGCATTTTGGAGTCCAGATTTTTGGATTAGGAATGCTCAATGTGCATTACGTTTCTATAAAATTTTTATTTGAAAAAAAAATCCTAAAATAAGCAGGGGGAATATGAAAATAGAAAAAAACACAAACTAATATTTCATTTCTATAAATTTAACAGAGAATAGAAAATAAATCCTAAAAATATACATATGGACTAAAAAATATAGAAAAATATTTCCAAGAAAATTTGTCCTATGTTATTTAACATAAGTAAGCAACAGATACTTCCTTGCTGACAATAATAATTTGAAAGAAACCATTTAAATAAAATTTAGCAAAGTAAAAACCAGACAAGTATCTATTAAAGTTTGAGTCTTTAGAAGATATGGTAATGGGACAGGAAGTATACAGGTACCTAGCAGCAACACACAGGGTCTAATATCACATATCATGAGGCACAAGGTACACAGGCTTTCAGTAGTAACCAACACATTGATCCCATCTTATGGCCCAGGTCCATGAAATCAGGTACATGCAAAGTAGCAGGTAATAATCAGCTTTGAATAGCCAATGATTACCAACAGGGACTAACTTTAAAAAGAATGGTGAAAATAGAATAATACTGGATCCCCTATTTGGGGTTCTAGAATTCTCTTGCATACACTCTCTCCATTTCTCAGTTCACTTTACTGTTCACACAGGAAAAACAAAATCTCAAACTATCAAAAAATGAGAAGAAAAAAACAAAAATGATTTAAACAGAGTAGAGAACCCAGAAATGGGCCCATAACTTACAGTCAGCTGATGTTTAACAAATATGCCAGTTCAATGAGGGAAAAGTCTCTTTAACAAACAAAACTGGAATAACTAAATGTTCATAAGAAAAAAACGAACTCCTTCAGTGCAGGGAAGGAAAGATCAAGTGGATTTGGTGATTTCTCTGAGCTGAGAAATAAAACTGGGGGTGTAGGGAGGTCATGGTGCCTAGTGTTCATAAGAGTTCTGAAAAGTATTCAGTTACAGAGACAGGATGCAGGACATTGCAAAAAACCCCTTCAAATCTTCAGCTGAGTATAGATCAGCACATCATGTAGTGAAATTACCACAGTTGAGAGAAAAGACCACCCCAAAGTAGTGGCAGCAATCTCTTGAGGTCACACAGAGCCAGACATAGTTCCTATTCCCGTTATCCAGAAAATGAAGGTTCATAATTCACAAGGCATCATGCAGATGACTCAGAAGCAAAGGTGAAAGGTCAACCATCAGTGACTATACACTAACACTAATTCATGTGAAGCAGACCACTGCTCTGCTCCATCTAACAAAGTTAAAAGCAAGACCCCAAAGGGTCAATCTAGTCACAAGTAACTAGATTGTGTCCCAGAACAAAGGTCAAGAATATTTATAGAAATACAGAAATATATAGCATGCAAATAAAAATTTATAATGTTTGGCCCCCAAACAAAAATTATCAACATGCACAGAAGCAGGAGAACACAAATGAGTATAAAAAGGAAAAGAAATGACCGGGCTCGGTGGCTCAGTCTGCAATCCCAGCACTTTGGGAGACTGAGGCGAATGGATTGCCTAAGCCCATGGGTTTGAGACCACCCCAAGCAACTTGGTGAGACCTCATCTCTACAATAAAAATAAAAATTTAGCCGGGCGTGGTAGCATGCGCCTGTAGTCCTAGCTACTTGGAAGGCTGAGGCCAAAGTATCGCTGGAGCCCAGCAAGGCGATGTTGGGGTGGCAGTGAGCATGCCATTGCACTCCAGCCTAGGTGATGATGTGAGACTACAACTCAAAAAAAAAAAAAAAAAAAGACGAAAAGAATCAACCAATCAAAACCAACTTCATGCAACAGAGATAGCATCAGTAGACAAGGATATTTAAAACTGTCATTATAACTGAATTCCATATGCTCAACGAGCTAGAGAGATTGACATGATAATTAGATATAATGAAAACATTAACAAGATCCATACTGAACTTGTAGAAGACAAAAAAAATTGCCAAAATTGTTCCAAATTTGATGAAAACTATAAACTCATAAATCCAAGTTGCTCAATAAAACCAAAGAAGCATGATGAAGTGATTCCAAGATACTGACTAAAACCAAGGCTACAGGGAAAAATCCGAAAAGCAGCCAGAGAAAAAAGGTGCAGAGGAATAAAGCTAAAAATAAGAACGACAGAAGACTTCTCATCCCAAGTAATGCAAACCACAAGACAGTGGAGCAATGTCATTAAAGTATTAAAGAAGAGTCAACTTAGAATTCTACATCTCAGAGAACACACCTTTGCAAAAGAAAGGAATAATAAAATTTTATAGACATACAAATGCTGAGAGAATTCATCACCAGCAGGATTGTACTATAAAAAAATCTTAATGGGGCCAGCCATGGTGGCTTTCACTTGTAATCCGAGCACTTTGCTGAGGCCAAAGTGGGAGGATCGCTTGAGTCCAGGAGTTGTGACCAGCCTAGGCAACATAGCAACACTTTGTTTCTATGAAAACTCAAAAAAGTAGTTGGGTGTGGTGGCATGCACCTGTATTCCCAGTTACTCGAGAGGTTGAGGTGGGAGGATTGCCTGAGCACAGGAGGTCAAGACTGTGGTGAGCCATGATTATGCCACTGCACTTCAGCCTGTGTGGCAGAGTGAGACCCTGACTCAAAAAAACAAACAAGCCAGAAAAAAAAAAAATCTCTTCAAGTAAGTCCTTTAGGCAGAAGAAAAATAATACCAGGTGGAATCTTCTCTACCCAGAGGAAAACAACATGGGTAGATACAAAGACTTTTCTCTTATTTAAATCTCTTTAAAGCATAAATGACTATAATGTATTACGAGATTTACAGCATCTGTTAAAATAAAAAACTCCAAAATGATAGCCAAAGGTTGGGGAGGGAATAAATATAAGTACAAGTGACCTTTGAACAACACAGGTTTGAAATGGGTCCGCTCAGATTTTCTTCCGCCTCTGCTATCCTTGTGACAGCAAGACCAACCTCTTCTCTGTTCCCTCCTCAGCCTACTCAGCCTGAAGACGACAGGACGAAGACCTTTATGATGATCCACTTCCACTTAATGAATAGGAAATATATTTCCTCTTTCTTATGATTTTCTTAATAACATCTTTTCTCTAGCTTTCTTTATTGTTAGAATACAGCAGATAATACATATACAAAATATGCACGAATTGACTGTTTATGTTATTGGTCCACAGTGGGCTATCAGTAGTTAAGTTCTGAAGGAGTCCAAACTTACACGTGGATACGCAATTACAGAGGGGGAGGACCCCAGCCCCCACATTGTTCCAAGGTTAACTAGATATTGTTGTAATGTTCTTACACTATATGTAAAATATAATAGATCGCTTGAAGACAACTTGTGATAAGTTAAGGATATATACTATTAACTCCGAAGCAAATGCTGAAATAATAGAACAAAGAGCAATAGTCAATAATCCAACAACAGAGATAAAATGAAATCATGAAAAAACTCAACTAACCCCAAGAATGCAAAACAGGAGGAAAAAGAAGAGATGAAACAAGCAGAAAACAAAAACAAAAATGGTATACAGACAGTTTGCAACTTATGATGGCTCAACTATAGATTTTCTGACTTTATGGTGTGTGTATTGGATTGCAACTCCATTGTAAGCTTGCAAGCATGTGAATTAAAGTCAACCATCTTAATAATTGAATTAAATGTAAGTGGGATAAACATATCTGTTAAAGGCTGGAAGACTGGATGAAAAAGTAAAAGGAACAATATGCTGCCTACAAGAAACCCTCATTAAATATAAAGACACAAACAGATCAAGAGGAAGAAAAAAGATGAAGATATGCCAGACTAACTACCAAAAGAAAGTAGAATTGACTATGTCAATATTAAACAAAGTAAACTTTAAATAAGGCAAACATATTTTTAAAAAATAAACTATTAATAATCACAACACAGATCTATTTCAAATATTATTAAGCTGAGTGAAAGAAGCCAGACACAAAAGAGTAGAAACTGTTAGAGACCATTTATATAATATTCTATAATAAGGAAAGTTAATCTAAGGTAGAAAAAAATTCAGAAAAAGCTGCTCTGGGAAGTAAGGGGCAGAGAATAACTGCAAAGGGGCAAACTTTTATGGACGATGATAACGTTCTATACCTTGAGAAGACTTTGGATTATGTAGGTCCAAGCATTTGTTAAAACCCAGAAAATGTACATTTATAATGCACTCATTTCATTGTATGTAAATTTAATATAAAGGAAAGGAAAAAATTTCTCAACAAATAATGAACTCTGGTTACTAATTATTTGCCTTAAGTATTTAAGGCAAAATGTACTAATGCCTGCAGTATATTCTGAATTCCATCAAACGGTAAGACAGACCAATTGCTGCTAGAAGAATGGATACATATGTGAAAAAGCAAGTAAGATAAAATGTAAGGCAGAGTTTAGATGGAGAGTATATGGTACTCACTGTGAAATTATTTTAATTTTGCCACATGTTTCAAAACTTTCATAACAGAATGCTGGGAAAAGTAAATTATGTAGAGCCATACAACGGACTATACTACATGGCTGTAAAAAAGAATAAGGAAATTATGTATGTAAGATAAGCTTACAGGCAGAAAGGTCACAAAGTGCAAATAATATGTTAATATAAATATATTAACAATTAATATCTAATAACTACATATGATAATGTAAAATAAAGGGAGAAAATATGTATCTTTCTTCATATATACATATCTATACACACATACACATATATGAGCTCTGGAAAGAGAAAAGATACACTACTATCAGTGGCTACAAGTCACATCCTCTTACCTATTACCCATTAAAATTCAGAGTTTTAAAAGGTTCTAAACTGTTTTGTTACCTTCCTCCCCTTCTAGTGACTTCTTAATTCCTGAATTCTGCCTCCCACTAGCTCTCGAATAATACGGGCTTTATCAAATTCTTACATTGCCTCTTTCCTGTCAAATCCGATATATATATATATATTTTTTTTTTTTTTTTTTTGAGTTGGAGTCTCACCTTGTCGCCCAGACTGGAGTG